GAAGAAGCTAAGCCAGTGTACACAGGAAATGAGCAAAATATTCCCGAGGGGATATTTACTGAGGCCTTTCATGAGAGCCACTGGAGAAATTGGTGGGCACTGTGGTGCCCACAAATACTGCATTGGCGACCCTTGCTCTAAAGGGACCAAGTAGGAGCCCCCTCCCCAAGCTGCCCCTGGGTGATAAAGCTGAACGAGCTCTGGGTCCAGGGGGCACATACCTCGGGGTGCTCCCCTCCGCTTGCATTTCACAGAGGCAACTAGGGGTGCATAGTGAGGCAAGGGGTCTCTATCCACTTGTGCCAGATTGACCCCAGTGTTGTTCCAATTCCCAGCCTGCTCAGGAGACCCACTGTCAGGGCAACATGTCTTGTCATTTTCTCCCAGGCTTCCCATGAAGCTGGAGGGAACACTGGCCTTTGAGTTCACCACCTGTGAGACATGGACAGTCTCTAACTCAGTCTCAGGGTGTGTGGAAGCAGAAACTGCAGACTCTGCCGGCCATTTTCTGCCACTTGGCTTGGATTCCACGCTGCCACCAGCTGTAATGTAAAGCACTGTGGCTTTGTCTCTTCCATGGTGGTTTTCCTTCCTTCCCTGAGCTTCACTTGGCACAAGAGAACTATCAACCTTGGGAATTGTCAGCTCCACATTCTCTGCTGGGTCCTCTGCTGTGGCAGGCAAGGCCTTGTGATTAGACCTCCCTCTTAGCCTTCTCTTTCTTCTGGGCTGCACTAGGCCTTCACTCTGTACTAGATCCCCGCTGGAAGATGTGTTCTCGTTAGAAAGAGACTGAAGAGGAGAAGTGCCAGGGCTGGCACCAGAATCGGGAAATGGCAAAGGAACAGCCTCCCTCTGCTCACCACTTTCTGTCTGCCCTTGGGAGGACGACGAGGCTGGATCTGTGCTCTTCTCCTTGCACACAATTCTCTGTCCTTTCCTACTTTTGCCCAGCTGGGTTTGAATGACGGCCGCCAAGTTCACCTCCCTCTGTTGACTGGACATTCGCCGTGTTGTCCTTACGTAATACTCAACAGGAAACAGGAGCCCCTCAACTACTGTGCAAGAGCTCAGCACATCCTTAGCAGGTGTGGCTGGAGCCCTATCCAGGAGGGGAGATCCAGTTTCTTCAAGCTGATCCCCTAAACCATTTCCACTGGGCTTGCTGGTGGGAGCGTCACCGCCGCTGAGCTCCAATTTCTGAGGTTCCTGGCATCGGCTGACTTCTTGCTGCATTCCATGTGTATGAGAGGCAGCCTCAATGGTCACAGCTAAGTCTGCAAATCGGCCTGCCTCCTTCTCTATCTGTGGAGATTCAATCTGCATGTCTGCAGGTGACACAATATTCTTGACAGCTGGACCTCCAGAGCTATCAAACAGACCTTCCTCACAAAGATGCTCAGGTGAAGACTCCTGGTTTTCACGCGACAGATCATGAAGAAAGGTGGCTTGCCCAGATGTTTCCTGTAAACAATCCAGATGCAGCAACACAGGAGAAACATCGCTGCCTCTTCCTTCTTCAGCTGTGTTCCCTGAGGAGGCCACTGGGATGCTATGGTCCGTCCATAAACTGTCACTTCTGTTGAAAACTGGTGACCTGGAGCCCTGGGAGCTCTCTGGCTGGGGTCCCACATTTCCCAGAGGTGCATCCCATGTAGATTCTTCTCTTTCCTCCAAAGCCAAAGATGCTCTCTGTTGCACTTTGGTTCTACTTCTTGACAAACTATTCTGGTTTTTCTTAAGAACAGGACTAAAGAGAACCCTTTTGCGGTCCTGGTTGCTACACGAAGAACTCAAGTTTCCTAGCAAGCTGTCTTCTTGGTTGAAGGCCTCAGGCTTGAAGGTGACTGATGCAGCTTTTGCAGCGCTCTTCTTTGAACAGCCACCATCTGTGAAGGAAAAAATAACAGCACACTGCCATCAAGGGAGCACACAGAACAGCAAAACGAAGCGCATTTTAATCAAAAAAGTTGAAAACTACAAAGGCAGTTTAACATAAGGCTCTGTTTCACTTCCTAAAGAGTGGAGAGCAGAGTTCAGGCTTGACAAATCAACTTTCCTTTTTTAAAAATTAAAACCCAGAGATTCATCAAACAGAGTCAGGTATAAAAAACACTTAGAATTAAATAATTGAGTGCTAGAACTGAGTTCACAGTCCTTAGTCCACCCAGCACAATTTTTAAGATGGCTTTAGTCTCAGTTCCCCTCATTTTAGAAAATAAGCACTCACAAATACCCCAGAGTAAGGGGCTAGTTCTGAACTGGAACACCAGGCCTCATCTGTACATAGCCAAACAGAAAATGTGCGGGATTCTAAGTGAACAGAATCCAAGATCTCAACAATGCAAAGTTTTGGAGCAGAAACAACAGAAGAAAAATTAATTTAAGTTTTATGGCATCTCCCTGTAATGGTCTCACTTAGTCCTCAGCCCGAGGCCTGCCCAAGAACAGCATTGGGGGCAATACAAAAAGTGCTCTGCCTTTTGGGAAAGGTAGAATGAGCCTATAATACAAAAGTGAGAGCCATGGAGCAATGATTTCATCAGGACAGATAAACACCCAAAGAACCATGGATCTGCCTTTCCAGGCTTACCTGCAAGGTCCCCCTCAGCTTCCTCTTGCATAAGCAACAGGTTTTTCTCTGCAACCATTTTCTTGACATAGTTGTTCACCTTTTCAGCTCTTTCAGCACGCTACAAAAACAAAAACAATAAAAAGGGTAATGGGAAGACCGGTGCTTAATCAGATGTGATTTCATTTTCTGCCAAAAATATTATTATTTATTAAAATTTTGTATCACTCTTAATTAGATGATCACAGGAGGGATTTACAACACAGAAACACAAAATTACACACTATAGTTACAAACAAAACAATACCCCCCTCCCCAGTTTAAAAGGCCATAGATTGTTTAATTAACCAAGGCCTAGAAGAAGAGGAATGTTTTTGCCTGGCACCTAAAGATATGTAAGGAAGGAGTCAGGTGAGCCTCCCCAGGGAGCACATTCCACAAGCGAGGGGCCACTGCAGAAAAGACCTGCTCTCGTGTTGCTGCCCTCAGGACCTTGCTTATAAGTCCTTGGCAGACACTATTGTTTACTTACCTGTAACCTGTGGAATGTTTTGCTGTATTCTCTTTTCAATAAGGCCAACTTTTCTTTCAGCTGGAAGACAAAGATGTTACAAGGTGGTCACCACAAGTTGTTTTAAAACAAGATTTAGGAAGGCAGCAGCTACATGAACTGCATTGCCAAACACTCGGTCTTGCTGGAGGAAGGAGGAACACAAGGCTGCACACCAAAACAATGTACTCAAAATGAAGGGTTCTGTGTAACTTAAAACCGCATCCCCAACAGTATAAACTGGCCTCCCTCAATCTAGTGCCCTCCAGGTTTTTTGGAGTGCAACTCCCAAAAGCCCCAGCCAACACAGCTGTATGATGTTGGGGCTGATAGGGGTTATAGGCCTAACACCTGGAGGGCACAAAGTTGGGGGAGGCTGGTTTAAACAGATCTCCAAAAGGAGTACATAGGAAATTGCCCTATCAAGCTCAGTAGTGTCTCTACACTGAACAGCTGTGGCTCTCCAGGGTCTCAGGTAAGGGCAGCTCAACCTGGAGATGCTGAAGGTGGAATAAGGGACCAGCTGCTTGCGAAGCAGTTGCTCTACTGCTAAGTTATGGATCTATATATGGGCCAGTGGCTCTCTAGGGTTTCAGACAGGGGTCTTTCTTACTCCCACCTGGAGATGCTGATGGGAACTGAACCTGGGAGTTTGTGTGTGCAAAGCAAGTGTTTATATTCCTTCCCTACAAAGTAAGATTCCATCTAGCTCATTATTGTCAACAGTGGCAGTGGCTCTCGAGGGTTTCAAGCAAAGGTGTTTCTGACTCCCACCTGAAGATGCCGGTGGGGACTAAAAACAGACTTTTTTTTTGTATGCAAACTGGAGTGAGAATGTTCTTCCAAGCCATGATCTTTCTCGACCTTGGGTCTCCCGATGTTCTTGAACTACAACCCCCATCATATCTGACCCCTCGCCATGCTGGCTAGGAATGATGGGAGTGATAGCCCAGCAACATCTTGGGACCCAAGGTTGAGGAAGAATCCAGTCCACATGGTTCTAAATAAACAGCTGGTTTAAGCAAGGACATAGGAAGCTGCCTTACACAAAGTCAGATTATTTGAGTCCATCTAGCCTGTACCGTCTATACTGACTGGCAGCAACTCTCCAAGGTTCCCAGCCATATCTGGAAATCCCACCCGTGGGGCCTTCTGCGTGCAAAGCACATGCTCTATACCGCAGAGTGAGGGCCCTCTTCCCTTGTCCCGCCTCCTGAAATCTCTACCATAGGAAAAGAGGAGAGGGGCGGGCCTTACCTCCCCAGCTGCCAGGCCAAAGCCCCTCTCTTCAAGAGACCCTCCCGCCCTTTCTTCCTCCAGCCAAAGCCCCTCCCTCGCGGCCCCTCTCGCCCGGCGCCCACCTGGGCCTTCTCCTGCGCGTTGAGGGCCGGGAAGTGGCCCCGCGGAGGCTCCATATCTCCCGCTCTCTGCGCGCCACGCACCTCGCGCCAGCTGCGCCTGCGCAGTAGCTGAACCAGCGAAACGGCGTCCATGGAAACGCAACATTCGCCTGGAGCGAGGGAATATCTCTGCGCATGCGCCATGTCAAGAAACGGGAGCTAGCGCCATAGAGACGGAAGGTAGAGCGGCTCATTCCCCCTCCCGCGTCGCTATCACCCACCCACTTAATATTGCGCTTTATTCTCCGCAGCTGCGACGCCAGAGCGTGCCCAACAAAGGGATGTCTCTAGTCAGAGCCGAATGTTGAAATAAGACAGGGCACCATGGAGAATAAGGCAAGGGAGTGGGGAGTCGCCTTTTTCCCAAACAGAAACCGGAAGTAAACGTATTCACGTCACTTTCGTCTTCAGTCATTGGCTGGCAGTGTTTGGAGGCTTCCGGGAAGGTCTGTGCTGATAGGCTGCAAAGTCTACGGCCCGCTGGAGGGCGGAAGTGGGACGTTTGTACGGTAGCCCCGCGGGGACAATAGAGTCGGGGAGCCGCTCTGGGTGTGACGCGGGGACTTCGCGATGGAGCTGAGCGAAATGCTCTACAACAAGTCCGAGTACATCGAGACGGTGCGTGTCGACTCAAGGCGGTAGTCCTCTTTACCCGGGAACCAGGCCCGTGGGAGTGGGAGAAGCACCACCATGCCAGGGCGCTCACCTCAGAATAATGCATGAAACGTATGGAGGCAGAGCGGAGGCCACAATTCGTTCGTTTCCTCCTCCCTCCCCGCCTTTTCTCCTCGCATGCCTTGTCTTTTTTTTTTAATTTTAAGGCTGCGGGCGGGGCCGCCTTTTTTAAAGTGATATATAAGCCGCTCTGGAAGGCTGCCCCCATTTTTTTGCCTGAAAAGCAGCATGGAAAGTGTCTAAATAATATAATAGCAGCAGGGTGCGTGTTGTGATGGTGAGGTCTGGAAGGGCCTTTGGCTAGTGCCTGAACCCCCAATCCCACTTAGCTTCAGAGGGTGGGGGCATGCGGCGAAGAGTCCTATGCCATGATCACTGTACATGGACTAAGGTGGCCCTCTAGGTACCTGGCTCCTAAGCTGGCAAAGGCTTTGAAGCAGACTTCCCTGGCCTGGTGCCCTCTGGGTGTTTTGTACTCCAAAGCATCAGGAGGGCACCTGATTGCTAAAAAGGTAATAGTAAAAAGGTAAAAAGGCTACTGTATTTGGAAACTAACCAACACCTAGTGAAGCAGTTTCAGTACCGGCAACGTGTGTTTCCATTGGCTCTTCCCAATTAATAACCAGTTACCATGAACAGGAGGAGGGCTGTTATAATTCATTGGTCAGTCCCTGCCTTACATGCAAAACCCCCAGGTTCAATTCTCAGCTTCCTTGGGTTGGCTAAATAGAGAGCTGTTGCCAGTCAGTGCTGAGGGAGGTGGGACAATTAATCTGACTGGGTATAAGGCAGCTTCCTATGAACTTATATGCTATTGTTGTGTTCATGCAAAGCTGCTAAGAATTTTTTTGAATGCACAGTGAAATAATAAATAGCACAACAGCACTTAATTATCACATCAAATGAAACGCACCCATTCACCCTTGAAGTTTGAGAAATACTTAGAGGCATGCACCCCACATGTAACATTATGGTAGTTAATCTGGAGGCCATTGGGTTACAGATAACTATGGCCGTTTGGTGCTCCCACCCATATTGCAAAGACCGCAGGGCTTTCCCCCAAGTACCTTCTCTAAGAGCTTTGTTTTTGCTAATCATTTCTGCCTTTCTCTATCTCTTTAGGCATCTGGGAACAAAGTGAGCAGGCAGTCTGTGCTGTGTGGAAGCCAGAACATCGTGCTCAATGGCAAGGTGAGGGGCCCTTGAACTCCAGAGGCTGCCTATGGGACAGGGTAGGAAGGGATTGTAAGTGCAGTGAACAGTTCATGGCCTACTGATAGATTCAAAGGGTGGAAAATAAGACCTCTTGTTCAGGTAGGCCAGTGATTCCCAAAGTGAGTGGTACTGCTCCCTGAGGGGGGGCAGTGGGATAACCTGGAGAGTACTAAGAGGCAAGGGGGCTCTTGAGGTGGGCCCCTTCAAGTGTGTTGATTGCTTATTTACATTGACCAGGCTACAGCAAACTGTGAAACACCTTTCTTCCTTCTACTTCCTTCCTTTTACTGCTCTCATCATTTTCAAAGCCATTTCCTAAATTTATGTTTTAAATTGTTTCTTTGTTTTTTTTAATTGTGAACCATCTAGGGAGACTCTTAATGTCTTTAATGCAGTATAAAAATACTAAAATAAATAAAAGATAATCTTGACACTGGCTGCACCTGGGAGTGGTTCTTACAGCAACCAAAGAAGACGAACCATTTAGTGTGTTGCTTCACATTTACATGAATCCCATCTTATTTGCATGTTTCTCAGGGTCCCATCAGAATGCCGCCCTGCTTTGAGAAAGCTCCAAAACTGCAGTAATTCTCTTCTTTCCCATTCAGACAATTGTCATGAACGACTGCATCATCCGAGGGGACTTGGCCAATGTGAGAGTTGGGCGCCACTGCGTGGTCAAAAGCCGAAGTGTCATCCGTCCACCTTTCAAGAAATTCAGCAAGGGGTAGGAGTTGCTTGGGACAAGGTGGGAGGGCTTCCTTGAAACAGGGTAGTGCTGAGTTTTGAGTTCAAGGAGCTGGGTTCCTTAATAAACATACAATCATCTAGACTGATAATCCCACTGCTCAATTCCTTTTGATATCTCCCCCCAACCCCACTTGGAATATCCTTTGGCAGAAGTGACAACTATCCATAGGAGATGATTGAGAAATCATCACGTACACATCCCAACTTCAAAAGTGTCGGGGTTAGTGAAGGTGACCCATGCTGCCTGGCTCCATTGTTTTGTTCCATTTTTAGATACATGAATTTGAGAAGAGAAGAGTGTATACCATTTTTTAGCCTACATATCTATAGTTGGATAGCTCCAGCAAAGCCCCAGCAACCAGCTGCTCATCAGGGCTTGCATAGTGCTGTGTTTGCTCACCCACATGGTTTGATTTCAGTCATGATGCCATGCCATTGACAGACGAGCGGCCCCTCCCAGTTGTCAAACCTGACCCATGGTTGGTGGGGGAGATTACCAGTCCCACCAGCTGAATCTACTTCCTCACTCAATATAATTGTTCAAAGAGTGCATGGGACCTTTCCTGGTGATGATGAGCCTGGGGGAGTTAAGGATCCCACATACTTGGAAGTGGAGACTTTGCTGCGAGGGTGACTGCTGTCTCAGTGGAACTGGGAGGAGACCTCTGCATTGGCCTCTAGCCAAAAGACAGCAGCCCTGGACATTGTGGGGCTGGTGTACTGCCTTACATCTGCTTCTTGACATGGTTGCAGCCAAAACCTAAGGACGGCAGAGCGAAGAGCTTTGCTTGGAGGTTGCCAACTGTGAGGAATTCAGAGGGGGGATCCAGGAAATCTTTGTGTTCTTCCTTGCCAATCCCTCTTGGGCGTTGGTAGCTCCTGGGCATGCTGCATGTTGTTTGATCAAGCTTTGCAAGTCATCCTCACCAACTTTGTTATTGTTCTGGGGCTTCAGTGATTAGATTTTATTTTATTTTTGGTGGGGTAGGTGTTGCTGGCTATAAATATGCCCCCCCCAACACACATGTATATTTCTTCTTCAGGGTTGCATTTTTCCCTCTGCACATCGGTGACCACGTTTTCATTGAGGAGGACTGTGTCGTCAATGCGGCTCAGATCGGCTCCTATGTCCACATAGGCAAGAACTGCGTCATTGTAAGTGTGGCTCCCCTTGGGCATCCTGCAAAGTCTATGTAGCATAACAGTCCCACTTAATTTCAGGCAGTTGCACGGGGTCAAAAGAACCTAAGAAGAGCCTGCTGGACCAGGTCAAAGGGGGCTCATCTAGTCAAGCATCTTGTTCTCATAGTGGCCAACCAGATGCCTGTGGGCAACCAGCCAGGGTATTTATTTGGCTCAGAATCAAGTTTTATTTATTTACTGCATTTATATGCCGCCTTTCCTCTAAGGAGCTCAAGGTGGACTACATCATTCTCCTCTACCTTGTTTTATCCTCACAACAACACCGGGGAGGTAGGTTAGGCAGTCACCGGCCCAAGGTCCCCCAGTGAATTTAGCTGAGTGGGGATTTGAACCCTTCCAGGTCCTAGGTCCTAGTCTGACAGCAACCTCTACACCACACGGGCTCTCTAGTTCACCCTGAGGCTCTTGTAAGCCTGGATGCCTAAGCAGATTACACCACAGTTCAAGATCCACGCATGCACCCATTCAAATGGAACTTCCTGGCCATGTCCGTGTTTGGCTGGGGAGGCAGGCGGAAGCTGAGACCCATTCATATGCCAGAGATTTCAACTTGTGGAGTGGAGCCTTCTGCTCCTGGTCAGCTGCTTGCTGTGGCTGCCAAACTCCAGTCCCAGCTGCTGTGTTCCCCTCTTGTCTGCAACAGCTAATGGCAGGAGGGTGGGGTCATGGCGATGGGAAGGGCTGTGGCTTGGCAGGCCTGTCAAGAGATTTCTGCTGCTCACCTAGCAGAGCTCCACCTGGGACAGCAGCAGGAGTTTGGTCTGTGCAGTTCTTTTTGTGTTGTGGGGAGTGGACGCAACTTCAGACCGAGGGAACTGAGAAGCAGGCCCCAACTTCTGTATGCAATGCAGATGTTCTACCACTGAGCATTGGGAAAGGGCCATAGCTCGTTGGTATAGCATCTGCATTGCATGCAGAAGGTCCCAGGTTCAACCCTCAGTAGCATCTCCAAGTAGAGCGATCTCTGCCTGAAACCATAGAGAACCATTGCTTCCGGTCGGTATTGACAATACTGAGCTAGATGGACCAAGGGCCTGATTCAGTATACGGCAGCATCCTGTGTTCTTATGAAAAAGTTAGTGCATGATATTTGTGCATAGTTTCTGCACTGCACAGGATGAGCTGCATGCCAGTGATAGGGCTGATGGCCAAATCCAGTCACCCGCTGTCTTCATGCCTGGGCAACCCCAGGATATGGGTAAAAAAACCCAGCAGAGTCCACTCCTTGTAGAGATCAGAGAAAAACACACACACAGGAAGCAGGATTCTTCAGTAAGTGTTTTACTGAGGCTTAAATGCATACAGGAACTTACTGAATTCCCAGTAAGGCAAAATCTTTGCTCCAAAGCACATCCAGTTACAGAAGCAAATCACACAATATATATGGAAACAAAAGTAAAGAGCAGGATGAAGGTCAGAAGATAAACTGCCTAGCAGGCAGGGCTATGTATCTCCCACTGAGGCAGCGACCTTGACTAGATAAATGCAGCTGCAAGCTTGTTCTGTTGTGAACACGCTGGAAAGTTCAGGAAGATTCTAGTAGATTCTACATTCATAAAACTTCCATCCCTGACAGTTAGAACCTCTCTATGCACCTAACCCTTTCTGAACAGACTTAATGAAGCCATCCCCAATTAACAGCCATGGGGCTGTATCTAACTAACTCCTGTTCAGGGTAGACCCAATGAAATCAATAAACCTAAGTTAGTAATGTCCATGACTGGTAATGGGTCTGCTCTGAATAAGGCTAACATGGGGTAAAATCCAATGATTCATCAGTGTGTGAGAGAAACACAATTTGTCTGAGAGAAAAAGGCATCATATCTGTGTAATGTGGTTAGCGATAAAAGATACACCCATACGCTTATAACACACAATTTCCATGGCTGAGTGTAAGAACTGAGTGTAAGAGTCTGCTGCTGGATCAGGCCAGTGGCCCATCTAATCCAGCATCCTGTTCTCACAGAGGCTGAGCAATTGCCTATGGTAAACCAGCACGCAGAATGCAAGAGCAGCTCTCCCCTCCTGTTGTTTCCACCAACTGGTATTCAGAAACATTGCTGTTTCCAGGTGTGGAGGTATAGCATAGCCCTCATGGCTAGTAGTCACTGAGAGCCCTCTCCTCCAGCCCTCTTTTAAAGGGTCTTCTCGGCAGTGGCGCCCTCCTTGTGGAAAGCCCTCTCGTCAGATGTCAAGGAGATAAAGAATTGCACAACTTTTAGAAAACATATGAAGGCAGCCCTGTTCAGGGAAGTTTTTAATGTCTGACATTTTATTATTATTTATATTTTTCTGGGAACCACCCAGAGTAGCTGAGGAAGCCCAGCCAGATGGGTGGTGTATAAATTATTATTATTATTATTATTTTATTTTATTTATTTGTATCCCGCCCTCCCTAGCTGAAGCCGGGCTCAGAGCGGCTAACAACAGTAAAATGATACAACATTCTAAAATCAGTTCATTATAAAATCAGTTCAAATCAGATTAATGCCAACCATTGGGCTAGAGTTCTATGAGGATTACCGAAGGAGGGGGTCAGGCTGTGCCTTGGCCAAAGGCCCGGTGGAACAGCTCTGTCTTGCAGGCCCTGTGGAAAGATGTCAAGTCCCGCAGGGCCCTAGTCTCTTGTGACAGAGCGTTCCACCAGATCGGGGCCAGAGCCGAAAAGCCCTGGCTCTGATTGAGTCCAGCCTAACCTCTCTGTGGCCCGGGACCTCCAATATGTTTTTGTTTGAAGACCGTAAGGTCCTCCGTGGGACATACCAGGAGAGGCGGTCCCGTAGGTATGAAGGTCCTAGGCCGTATAGGGCTTTAAAGGTTAAAACCAGCACCTTAAACCTGATCCTGTACTCCGCCGAATAATAATAATAATAATAATAATAATAATAATAATAATAATAATAATAATAATAATTATCCAAGTTGGTGGCCATCCTGCAGCGATATAGCTGTGAAGCTGTACCCACGGGACCTGTTGACAACTTGCCGGAGTGCCTGTCGAGAGATCCCAGGAGAGTGTATCAATCTAAGCCCCAATTGTAGCAACCTCCTCCTTTGTCTTTCACCATCCAGCCCTAGTATTAAAAAAAGTCCTGCGTGACTCAGTGTTTGCACTTTAAATGCCACTTGGCTCCCCTGCTCTTTTGTCAACGGGCATTGCATCGGATCTCTCCTGCCTGCTCCCTCTTTGTCAAAGTGGCCTGAGCTCAAGCGCCAGCTGCTCGTGGGGGCTGCCCTGAATAAGCGCTTTGTTCCCAGAGTTGGCACCAGTTCAGAGCCCCTGGTTTGTCAGCCTTGCTGTTGCTGGGAAATGTGAAGAGGACAGCCAGGATAGCTTACCTGAACAAGATACCGCTGTGGTTTGGCATGTGTGGAGATACCTGAGGAGGGGGCATGTTTCCTGGACACAAGAAGAGCCTGCTGGATCAGGCCAAAGGAAGCCCATCTAGGCCAGCATCCTGTTACCACAGTGGCCAACCAGATGCCTGTTACGGGAAACACTTAAGTAGGACCTGAGCACAAGAGCCCTCTCCTCTCTTGTGTCTCCCAACTGTGGAGGCAGAGCATAGTCATCCTGGCTAGTAGCCATTGATAGGCCGCCCCTCCATGAATTTGTCCAGTCCTCTTTTGAAGACATCCAAATTGGTGGCTGTCAGGGAACTGCCATCAGTGCCGGAGGGAGAGAGCAAAAGCCAGAGGGATTCCAGAGAGTGTCTAGGGATCGGGAGAAGCAGCCCATCTTCTGGGGAAGAGAATCAGCGTAGCACCAGTGGAGAAGGGGGGCAGATGGGAAAAGCGGCGAGGCGGTCCCATGACTCCTTGCCTGGGACCAGCGGGGAGAGTAGGGGTCCTCCGTTGCCTACGCCCTCCTTGCGCAGAAGGCTTTCGCGCAGAGAGAGTAGGAGGAGACTAGGCGTCAAAGAGCTTCTTTGCTGGAAGAAGTTTAAGAAACGCCCACTGACGGATTCTGCCAGCGATTGAGTCAGCCACGGGTGAGTGGCTGTCCGGACAGAAAAGGTTCACTTTGCAACCCAGCCAGGTGTTTGCACCCAGCCGGGGAGATAGGCACCTGCTTACGCACGAGCAACCCCTAGAACCATTACAGTGGCCATCACTGCCTCCTGTGCGAGTGAGTTCCCCAGTTTAACTATGCACTGTTTTGAGGAAGTTTAACTATGGGCCATTTGGAGAAGGACTTAGTTTTATCCGTCATGAATCTTCCAATCTCCCTGAAAAGCGGGGCGGACTGTCTGTGCCTCTTTAAAGAGAGGGCACGTCCTGATCTCCCAATGGAGTCTTCCTGGTGGGAATGATTCCCCTCTCTGGCAGCCAAACCAAACAACAAACTTCAGAACGAGGTAACTCGAGAGCTCTCTGAATCTCTCCCACGTCCCCACCTGAGCAAACATTGTTAGGTTTTTATTTGCTGAGAGAACAGAGCTTCTGGCTGTCCGGGGACTGCAGTGTGTGGGACGTGACTCCCGCTTAACTGTCCCAGAACCTGCCTTTGGCACCTGACCTGAGCAACTCGGCTCCTCTCATGCCCAGGAACTGCAGCCCAGAGGCGTCTGAAGCGAAAACACACATTTGCCAGAACAGTAAAAGATCTGGTGTTAATCACTACGTTTTGCTCACCTGCTCAAGCAGGTTCTATGGGAACTTCAGCTGGAGTGGGGGAGCTGTGTCCCCACAGATGGAGTTGGACTATACTGTAGTTCCCATTAGCCTTGACCATCTGCTGCATTGGCTGGAACTGATGGATTTGGAGGCATGGTTTCCGCACCCTTGAACTAGAGTGTGGTACAGAAAAACATAAGACAGGCCTGCTGAATCAGGTCAAAGGGGGCCCATCTTTTCACAGAGGCTGATTCCCTACCCAAGATTTGTGCTGCAAACCACACACAGAATTGTAGAGTTGCAAGAAAGTCCTGTGGGCCACCTGGTCCAACCCCCTTCAACACAGGAATCACAGCTAAAGAATCCTTGACAGATAGCCATCCATACTCTGTTTTAAAACCTCCAATGAAGGAGCGTCTGCAGTACTCAGAAGGAAAGTCCTGTAGTGCTGCAGTTGGTGAGATTGCCAGTTAAGAACAAAACCACCCACTTGGATGCAGTTGAGCATTGGGTTGCCTGCTTGCCCTTTAAGCCTGGAAGTCCAGGGCATGAGTGGCAGGTGGAAGGGTGGGAACCTGGGGCCTGTTCTAATTCCAAACTGACTTGTGGCACATCCTTTTTAGGGTCGCCGGTGCGTCCTCAAAGACTGCTGCAAGATCCTTGACAACACAGTCTTGCCTCCGGAAACGGTGGTCCCACCTTTTACCGTCTTTGCAGGCTGCCCAGGTAAATGGGGAAAAAGGGGTGGGGGGAAGCCTGCCCTATAAAGCTGTGTGTGCCTCACTCAAAGTGGGACAGTGACTGCACAGCAAAGGATGTTCCTTAATGCCAGGCTGTCTGCTCACACTCCACTTCACCCCCAGGGCTCTTCTCTGGAGAACTTCCCGAGTGCACACAGGAGCTGATGATTGACGTCACCAAGAGCTACTACCAGAAGTTCCTGCCCCTCACCCAGGTCTAGCCGTCTCCACCTGGCCCTCCCGTGGCCCTCTGCAGGAAGAAGAGTGGGAAGAAGCTTCGGCGTGACTGGCGTGGCTTGTGAGAGTCCTGCAAGCAGCTGGCTCCAAGCCCGACTGGCAGACTCTGCCAGAAGCTGCCTTGTGTAACACCATCTTCCCTTTTTGGGCATCCCCTTCATTCCTCTGCCTCACACCCTTGCCCACGATCTGGACTGTTCTGTCCCATATGGGAGGCCTTTTCCCGCTGACCACCCTAGCCCTGCCACTGACCAGCCTGGACTAACCCCACTGTCTACTCCTTCGCTTGCGAGAGACTCGCATGTTATTTATTTATCCCTAGATCCAGGGTGCATTGGAATGTGAAATGAGCAGCGACAAACCTCCTGAGTGGGAGGACGGCCGGCCAGCCTACAAGGGGTGGGGAGGTCTGTGTGCTTCTGCTGTCATCTCCCCCCACCCAACACATTCCTAATTAGAAGCCAACGTGACCAGAGGCCCCTCAGCACCCTCTCCTCCAGGCAGGTGTGTCTGTAGCCTCCCTCCCTCCCTGCCTGCCACCCTCCAGTGAGGAAGGCTCTGCTCCCTGCCTGGACAAGATGAGAAAGTGGTCATCTATTTGGCCCTTGAGGGCTTCCCAACAAGCCTCCATCTCCACTTCATACGACTGTTGTGAAGGCCATCATAGACGGGGGGAATGCGCTGTGACCCAGATCAGACAGTCTGTCCAGACTGTCCCTTCCCTTTATCAGCTGCATATTTTTCAGGCAGTGAGAGATATGTGACTCGGAGAATGACTCCAAGCAGCTGCTTTGACCCGTTTCCTCCTGCAGGGGGTAGCTTTGTAGAGATTGTTTCAGAGCATAGGGCTTGAGTGCAGGCAGGAGGTGGGTGGCCTTGTGGATTTTGCACAGGGATGGGGGTCCCTGCACAGGGTTATGATTGGGGGTGGTATGTCTGGAAGGGCATAGGGCAGGGACAGGGCTCCCGTGGTTCTTCAGAAGCTGCTAGACTCCCAACTCCCACCTTGCCTGACCAAGCTAGCTGATGGGAGTCCAGTATCAGCTGACAGGCCACAGCTTTCCCATGGCTGGGTCATCTGCAAAGAGAAGGTTGTGAAGGAACCAGCTTCTATCTGGGGATGCAAATGACTCCCACCCCTGATGGATACGCTCTGCTGATCCTTTGCTTCTTTCCAGATCAAACCCCCAGTCCATTTGTTTGGTGGCTGTGCACATCCCTGGTTCCCTGAATGTTGGATACAGGGCCAGCATACAGGTGGGTGGGTGTGCTGCTTCTTTTCATCTGTTCTGTGGCACGTACAGCTTTGCCACCCATTAACTAGCCATGGCCTCTCCAAACACAGAAGCCTGGAGGAGCTGCTGTTAACCATCGCGTCACTGTTCGCCTTGTTTATACTTTGCTGTCCACAAATTAAAATCCTCTCAAGTAGGTCAAGTGCTTTGAAGTGGTAATTTTCCTCTAACAAATCTGGAAACAGAGCGGGGTAGATGGGAGTGTCCTGCTGGCATCACCACCCACTGCTTTGGCAAGGGGCGGGGGTGCTAGCTGCACCTCTCCTTGGTGAAGTCTCCAACTGCTGAATAAATGGGGCTGCTCAACCAGCCACCCACACTAGCCCAGCCCAGCTACCTGTAAGTGATTCCACACATAGAATTCTAGAATTTGGGAGGGACCTCAGAGGTCATCTAATCCAAATCCCTCTAGCGAAGGAGAGTCCACCAGGGGACTCTGTTTCCTCTTACTTTGTGTTTAAAATGGCCTTTCAAAAAGCTTTTGCAACAAGAGGTGCCTGTGTCAGCTTGACCTCCAGAGCTGTTGGCATGGCACTGAAGGCCATGTGGAGGCAGCTTCCATCCTCCAGGGCTGTGCTTTTCAGAGGGTGTCCTTGGGGTACAAATCTCAGTGTAGGCAGGAGGGCTTCTGCCTCCAGCGCTGCCGCCTGCTGCTGCTCTCCTTGATGCCAGCTAAGGAGGGAAAGGATGAGCGCCTCCCCCGGGTTCTTTGTGCCAGGTCCTCCCTCCCATGTCAAACAGCTGCACATGGCGGTGAACTGGTTTGAGCCTGTGCTTCCTGAAAAGAGCCCAGTTTGGACCCAGTACCTGAAACGGTACAGACCCAAGGCCCAGCAAACTTATCATGGGGCTCTACCAAATACCCTGCAGTGCAGCAAACTCCTCTTATGTTATGGTGGACACCCGCTTTATTTAATGGCATCTGCTATTGGACCGCTGCAAGGCTATTGGAAAAAGACCATCCTTAAGGTGGCCAGGATCAAAGCTGCTTGGGGCTTTAAACGCCCCCCCCAAGCCCAGCTGGGTCCCACAAAACCAGCTTTGCAAATGCAGGGCTGGAGGGGCTCTTAGCCAGCTGGGTGGGACTGCCCAGTTGGGTGACCCAAACTCGGGCAGTGTCAAGGGCTCCTTTCCAGCTGCCCAGTTAATCAAAGAGCTCTCTTAAAAGCCTAAAGCTGCCAGCAGTGTGCCCAAAGGCTCTCCCAGTTGCTCAATGCAATCTTTCAACAGCTCACAAATATCTGTGTTCCCCCCCTTAATCTCTCTGTGTTCTCAACTGAACATTTCCTGGACCGTGCAAGTGATAAAACGGCCGGATTGGAGGGCTGGCCCTGGCGTGTCCCATCAGAGGGGCTGAGAGCACCTTTGTCGCCACCAGAAGCAGACCTCTTGCTGCATGCTTGCTATATCGGGGCCGATAAGGGCCGCTATCCTTGAAGGTGGCTATCAGGGTGAAGAAACCAGAATAAACAGTTGTGAAATGTGCAAATGCGACTTGTGCTAAGCTGGGCACACTCTTTGCAGAAAGACTGGACCAGGCTGGAACTGAACTGCCCAAGGGTGGCTGGAGGAACATTGGAGAAGCCCAGCTCCCAATTAAAATGAAAAGTGTAAAACGTGAATCCTGATTTGCAGGCGGTTGGGCTAGATGACCCCTGGGGTCCCTTCCAGCTCTACAATTCTATGATCCAGCCTTTCACTGCAGCAGTGGAAGAGCCGATGCCCATCAGTGAGCAGTCACTAAGGATGGGTCCTGGAACAAGGCCCTCAGCTGTGCCCAGTTGTAGCCACCTGACTCGTTCCGCATGCTCTCTCCCCCTCTCCCTTACCTGTCCCCCATGCTGGTGTCCAAGGAAATTAGTTCCACAAGAGGCTGCAGTGGCAGGTGGAGCTTGCAGGCAGCAGTGGCAACCCAAAAATGGATGGCAGCAAAAAAATCATAGAATTGCAGAGTTGGGAGGCAGCCCCAGGGTCATCTAGTCCAATCCCCTACAATGCAGGAATCCAGCTAAGGAATCCCTGATAGACAGCTATCCAACCTCTGCTTAAAAACCTCCAATGACATGGGGTGGGATGCTTCTGTGGTCTTAAGGCAGGTCCATGCTATATATTTAAAGCATATTCAGTGTAAAATCTTGGTACAGTGGTACCTCAGGTTAAGTACTTAATTCGTTCCGGAGGTCCGTACTTAACCTGAAACTGTTCTTAACCTGAAGCACCACTTTAGCTAATGGGGCCTTCTGCTGCTGCCGCACCGCCGGAGCCCGATTGCTGTTCTCATCCTGAAGCAAAGTTCTTAACCTGAAGCACTATTTCTGGGTTAGCGGAGTCTGTAACCTGAAGCGTATGTAACCTGAGGTACCACTGTATCTGCAGTTTCTGCCTCACAGAGCTACCATTTCCAGCACCCTTAGCAAACTGTATATGCTAGATTCTTTGGAAGAAGTAATGTACTTTAAATGTGTGTTGAATTGTAGAGTTGGAAGGGACCCGAGGGTCATCTAGTCCAACCCCCTGCAATGCAGGTAAATGCTTTAAAGGTATATTATCAAAAGGCTATATTCCCTTGAGGGTAAATCTGTTGTTCTCTCCCATCCCACCCACATGCAGTGGCGGGCAGAATCAGAGTCTGAAGGGAGTGGTGAACTCTTTCTCTTCCTTCCCAACCAGCAGGCTGCCAGGGGAGGGAGCACTGCTTGCCCATGCTGTGGGGTCTGAACTGATCACTTGACAAGGGTTTCTGTCTTAGGGAGAAGTCAAGCTACCTTGCTGGAGGTGGAGGCTTTAGATTCCCCCCTCCCACAGCCAGACTACAGTACACCCCCTCCCCCCAAAAGTGAAGAAACCAGTCAAGACTGCAATCGAGGGCTGGCTATGGTGTGTCCTATCGGAAGTGCTGAGGTCACCTTTGCCGCCGTCAGAAGCAGAGGTCCTGCACGCTTCCCACATCAGGGCTGATAAGGGCCGCCATCCTAGAAAGTGGCTATCAGGGTGAAGAAACCAGAACAAACAGTTGTGGCAAAGGCAACTTCTGCTGAGCTGGGCACATTCCTTGCAGATAGACTGGGCAGGGCTGGAACTGAACCAGTCTCTGCCCAAGGGGGTGTGCAGGGATGCTGGCCGCTCCGGGAGAATGTCAGCGCCACTTAAAATGGAATGCGTAAAACATTGTGATTTCTGCTTTGCAGGGGGTTGGATTGGATGATCCTTGGGGTCTCTTCCAGCTCTACAACCCTTTCGTTCTATGAATAAAGCCAAACTGGTACCTGGGAATAATCTACTATGGGGCAGAGCCAGAAAAGAAACTGGCAAGGCCGCCGCTTCTTATCACTTACAGCTGCGCTATGAAACCACTCAAATCTTAATCATTTGTGATCTGCAGCCTGTTCTGCATAAGGACGCCTTCCCTCTCACAGACCTTGTGTGGCAGGTATCTATTTACTGCTCCTGAACCTCAAAGAGCTTACTGCTCAGCAGCAACAGGCCTGAGAACAAAGATGTACACACAGAGAGCAGCCATTGTGGTCAGCCCACACCCATCACGGCCCTCAGGAGGCCACTCAAGCAGGAATGTGGCCCTTAGGATGGAAAAGGTCTTCACTGGCTGGCAGCAGCAGTTCTTTAGGGTTTCCAGCTGCAGCCTTGCCCAGCCCCACTTGGCACTGCTGGGGACTGAACTGGGCATGTTCTGTGTTCATTGCAGGTGCCCAGCCCCTGAGCTACAACTCTTTTCTCCTTTGTCCCTGCTGAGAAGGCAGCTCTTCCTCTCTGGCAAGAGTCACAGGGCTGATTCTTAGGGGTGCTAGAGATAGCAACCTCTATCTTGACCACCTCACTAAGCTTTCCATACACAGCAGGGGTGGGGAACCTTTTTGGCCCAGTGGACCAGCTCTTATCTTCCCCAACCCTGCGGGCCAACTTTGAATGGGTGGGAACGCCTGCCTGTCAATCATCTGATATTACAGTGACATCAAGTTTAACCCACAGGGCAAACCAAGGTTGGCAGAGTGAACTTGCACTCATGTCCAGTTTGTGGGCTTCTCACGGGTATCTGGTTGGCCCCATGGCAACAGGATGCAGGACTAGATGGGCCACTGGCCTGATCCTGCAGGCTTGTCTTAGCTTCACCCAGCAGGACTGAATTGTCTGCTGATGAGTGGAGACTTCAACCTTGCTCTCTGCAGGGGTTTGAGCAGGATTTAACCACCCTCTCATCAGCTGCTTTGATTGCACGAACCAGTTTCCTGTGGGGAACTGGTGGTGGGTGCAGCCAATGCAGAACTGAACCCCACCACACTGCCCATTGAGGGGGTGTCAGTTGACGGGCAGCTAGTTGTGGTTTTACTAAAGGGCCCTCATGGGTCAAATTAGACTGTGGCAGCCCAAGATGGCCTGTGAGCCAGAGGTCCTGTCCCCTCCCCCCCCCCATTACATAGGAACACAGACTTATACTTCCAGACCCTTGGCTCATCCAGTATTGTCAACCCTGACTAGCAGTGGTCCTCCAAGATTTGAGGCAGGAAGCCTAGCACAACCCTCCCTGATTTAGTTAAGTGGTGCAGGTGCCTCTGCCAATGCCCAGCCCTTTTCTGATTCAGCAACCGTTACAGGGAAAGCACCCTTTCCTTAGTTCGGAAGACTGAACCCACTTTCTCAGTCCACACCCACCCACACTTACATCCCAGCCCCACCAAACACACAAACAGCACTTCTAAAAATACACACCTGCCTTCCTTTTCCAATGTGTCAATACCAGCAAGATAAAGGCTATAATAAAGTCCCTTTCAATTACTGTTGTTTGCAGATCTTGGGCCTTGGTGTTGTTGCAAAGGCAACCCGGCCCGTCATGAGGCACCAGGTGGATTGCTGGGCAGCAGAGCACACCGGAAGCCAGCAGGAGGGATGGGCAGCAGGGAGTGGAGCACTGGCAACTCTCTGAAGTATCCTTAAAATAAGAGACCACCAATACTGCAGCATCTTGCAGCGGGTTGTACATCCTTAACATGCCTGAGTTGCAAAGAGGCCCAGCTGATTTCTTGATCATGCAACACAAGGGCTGCATTTGGAGGCTGCTGGTGAAATAAGCTCCTCTCTATACCTCCCAAGCACCATCAGTGCTATATTCTGCTTTTGGTCAACTCT